ATAAGTGATATTAATCTTGAAGGGGCACTAGTTAATATTTTTCAGTTTCACAAAAATCACCCATTAGTACAACCATATCTTAACATAGTAATTTTTTTCTTTTTCCATTCCTTATACAGGGTCAGAGTGTTATATTGTCAATCTTCCGAGGGGTGGAGAGCACATCACCCAGAGTTATGCGAAGGTCCTTAAAACAATGCAAACTACAAAGATTCCAAACGCTGACTGTCAAAGCATCTTACCGACTGTTGCATCTGAAGATTGATATCTTTGGCAAAATGCAAGAAAGATGGATTAGGCATTTGAACATTCATTCTGATTTGATTAGACATGTCCGGTAGAATGAAGGACTAAAAGAAAGACCGGCTGACTTTGTTTCCCTACAGTGGCATATCTTTCATAGATGTCTTCCAACGAATGATTGGTTGAAACATAAAGGCGAGGTTTTACCCTCATATCAAAGTTTCTTTCAGGGAACCTATGGAACACATATTTTTACAGTATTCAAACTCTACTATGCTTTGGTATAAGAGATGTGTGCATGCATGAGAGAAGGTAAAAATTGCGGCGCATGAATTTTCTACCCTTACTCAGCAGTTATTCAAGCTGAGATAAAGACCCGTTGGGCCAGAACTAAAATGACATTGATATCTGTAATTTCAATAGTTGATAATAACTTGATATACAAAACAAAAATCTAGAGCTTCAAGCTGAACTCGTTGTGGGATAACTTAGGGGAGTCTCGATGGAGATACTTTGGAAAAAAAAGGAAGGAAACGAGATATTTTTCAAAAGAGACTATCATCTTATTTTCCATAACTGGTTTATAATCTTTAGAGCGCAACCTGTAGTTTCTCTGAAATCCGCACAACTATTTCCCGAACTTTGCACACGTGGTTAACAGAGACCCTAATTTTCAGGCAACTTGTCATGTCATTTATAACAAAATTCAAGGGTCATTTTAACCAAACTTGCCACGAAGTCATAGAGCAGAGATGATAGTTACTAACTTATTAACTGCAAAAAAAAAAAAAAAAAAAAAAAAAAAACCTATAAAACAACGAGGCAAAAATGCACTTTCGTGCAAATTTCGACAACATTCAGTTTCAAAAATCTTGAGAAAAATTCAGTAATCTTAGCAGAGGAAATTCCAATGCTCCAAATGGGACCAAATTTGGTACCCAATAACCTTGAACCAAATTCACATAAAAGTGCACTTTTGCCTTGCTGTTTTATAGGTTTGTTATTATTTCTTCTCGTTTTTTTTTTTAATGGTTAGTAACTATGGTATCTACTCTATGACTTGGTGGCAAGTTTGGTTAAAATGACCCTTGGATTGTGTTATAAATGGCATGACAAGTTGTCTGAAAATTAGGGTCTCATTAACCGCCTCTCAATCTTTGGGGTTCGTTAGACACTCCTCGGGCGCGTAGAATCCCCGACGAAATCTTCGTTCCACCTATCCTCGGGGAAAGAAAACGAAAAAAAAAGTGAAAATATTTCATCGGGCCGTCCTCAGGGAATCCTCGGGCGACAACCATTTTGCAGTTTCCCCCAAGGTACCTCCCGAGGTCCCTTGGAGGCGAAGGATCCACGATAAACGGAGCGGTGAGGGCACCCGTCGTCAACAAGAAATTTTGGTCGGCTGGTCTATTGGAGTTCCTACCAGGCGGCGCACAGACATCATCGACCTTCAACGTTCGGCCTCCAGGAACCGAACCCCAACAACAACCGTTGGTCGCCTGTCGACTCCTGCGCACGTCGTCCGCAGCCGTTCTCCCTAGTAGTGTGTGGCGCCAAATGGAAAGCGGCTCAACGAACGAAAAATTCGAATATTTGAGGCCGGCGAACTTTCTATTCCCAGCAACACAACGTCAGTCGAACTGTACAGTCTGTTGTTTGCTGCCCTTTTCTCGTCGTCGTTTCATGCTGTTGTGTCGTTGGCGTTTGTTGCAGCCGTACCGACGTCCTCTAGTTCAAGTTACCGCCCTTCCCCACGTCTCGTTCATGGCCGACGTCTCCCGGAGACTACCACTGTTGTTCCTGGTATTGGTCACACTTGTGCTTGTCGTGGTCTTCTACGTGTGCATCCTCGGTAGGCTGCCTGGACGCACGCGCAAGAGGTATTCCTCGACGAAGGCGTCATCATGGAAGGGCGGCAGGCGAAGAATCGGACTCCAGTGGAACGAGTCGCAAGCCACGGGGCGCGCAGCGTCCCCACATGCTCTGCAGTGCCACGTGTGGCACTGGGAAGCGGCTCCACCCAGGAGTGGGCGGGGAGCCAGTTGTATGGGAATCGTGAGACAATGTGTGGACAATCTTTCACCAAACTACTAGAAGACGACATTCGCGAAAGCGACGACGTAGCCGACGTGAATCTTTCATTCAGTCTGTGTAGCGGGAGCTCATCAGCCACGATCTGCACTCTCCTCGTCACCCCCAACGACGATGCGGGGCAACTGACAGCAGTCGGCCGATCAGCAAAGGCTCCGAGCGGGGAGTGGGTGGCATCACAGAAGATAAGGGAGCATCCGATAGTCCAGTTAAAGCCGTCGTCAATGCCATGTGCTGCTGCCAGTTGTCCGAAGTGGATGCAGCTACCATCGCCTCTGTTGGGGGGTGGAAGCAAGGGTGGCCGTACGGCTGGCCACTTGTCCACAAAGGAAGATTTCATGAGCGCTCCCGGTGAACGGGTCGGGAGGCATGTGTGGGTGAAACATCAACAACAGGTGCGCAGGGAACACGAGGAGTGCATAACATTGGGAGTCCAGCGACTGCACGTGCGGGAAGGGATGGCAAAGAAGGAGTCGGCGGTAGTGGGTTGCGACGATTACGACGACGACGCCTTGGACGACGAACGACAGGATGACGAGACGACCGACGTTCAGCAGATCTGGCAGAAAACCATGGGTGGTCGGAGTAGGATGACGAAGGCTTCTTCGTCAACGGTGCGAAGGGGAAAAAATGGGTGGCTGCGGGGAGCGAGGGGGAAGGCGGCGTGGAGGGCTAGGTCGAGCGAAACTTCTAGTCAGTCGACCACATGGTCGCCCTCATAAGGGCGAAGCAGGACCCGGACGCGCATCTGCAAGGGATGGGGCACGCATGCGCTCGCATGAAGCCAAGGGAATGGAAGTGGGCAGATGTTGAAGAGAGGTTGAAGAAGGTTGGCGTGGAGAGGACAGCCCACAAGTGTGGGAAGAAATGGGACAACTTGATGCAACAGTTCAAGAAGGCGCACCTGTTTCAGGGGGAGTCCGGGAAGCAAGACTTCTTTCAATTGACGGGGAAGGAGAGGTTTGCTCGTGACTTCAATTTCACCATGGATCGGGTCGTGTATGAGGAGAATCACACTATAAACCCGACGAATGTAGCCGGCACAGGCGGTTCTGGTGGTGTGCAGCTGCCGTCCAGGTTTGTGGGCAGCCCTTAATCTGAGGGCGATGGGGACGTGGGTGGCGACGACAATGACGAAGAGGAAAGCTCCACAAAAGGATCTTCCCCAACGACGGGCAGTAGTGGAGGTTTCAGGAAGAGGAAGAACGTTAGGCAACAATTTTTTGAAGCTCTCACGAAATGCATGGAGAAGCACGGGATGCTAATGGCGATGGAGAGCGCTAGCAAGAGGCAGTGTTGCATTCAAATTTGACAATGTGAAGCCATGGAAGCGGAGGTGGGAGTGCAGAGAAAGCACTACGAGGCTTCAGACGACGTGAGCAAACTCATGTGCCAAGCACTGCTGGAGATAGCGAAGGCTATAGAATAGGGAACCGTGCCGTTCACGACATTGCCCGGGGAATTTACCGACTGCCCTTCGTCGCTTGCAGCGTCTTCTCCCCCCGTTGACGCCGAATGCACTGCAATCCTCCCGTTGTCCTCCTGCGTCTTCGTTGATCAGCATGCCTGGTGGTCCTTCGAAGGCATGTCTCGAGGGGGAGGTGTTGTTTAATTTTTTCGTCTGCGTAATTTATTTATTTTTTCCAGAGTGGCTTGACCGTTGCTGTGGGGTTGGTGCTGGCGATGGTAGTTAATAATCCTGCAGTCTTAGGATTTTCTATGTTTTGAAATTACCGTTGAGCACCGGCACTCATCCCCTGCCGAGCACTTTGCAACATTTTTATGCGTGCGACTGCCAAGTCCAAGCCTTGTCGTTCATCTATTGTCGTCGTTTGGTAATTATACGCAGCCACATTCTGCATTTGTCGTTCATCTATTGTCGTTCATCTCTCTCTCTCTCTCTCTCTCTCTCTCTCTCTCTCTCTCTCTCTCTCTCTCTCTCTCTCTCTCTCTCTCT